GGTTGTGGCACCAGCTGATGTAATTAAGTCTGCTGGACAGTTTCACCTGTCTGGTTGTGGCACCAGCTGCTGTAATTAGTCTGCTGGACAGTTTCACCTGTCTGGTTGTGGCACCAGCTGCTATAATTAAGTCCGCTGGACAGTTTCACCTGTCTGGTTGTGGCACTAGCAACAATAATTAGTCTGCTGGACAGTTTCACCTGTCTGGTTGTGGCACCAGCTGCCATAATTAAGTCTGCTGGACAGTTTCACCTGTCTGGTTGTGGCACTAGCAACAATAATAAGTCTGCTGGACAGTTTCACCTGTCTGGTTGTGGCACCAGCTGCCATAATTAAGTCTGCTGGACAGTTTCACCCATCTGGTTGTGGCACCAGCTGCTGTAATTAGTCTGCTGGACAGTTTCACCCATCTGGTTGTGGCACCAGCTGCTGTAATTAGTCTGCTGGACAGTTTCACCCATCTGGTTGTGGCACCAGCTGCTGTAATTAGTCTGCTGGACAGTTTCACCTGTCTGGTTTCGGCACCAGCTGCTATAATAAGTCAGCTAGACAGTTTCACCCATCTGGTTGTGGTACCAGCTGCAATAATTAGTCCGCTGGACAGTTTCACCTGTCTGGTTGTGGCAACAGCTACTATAATTGGTCTTCTGGACAGTTTCACCCATCTGGTTGTGGCACCAGCTGATGTAATTAGTCTGCTGGACAGTTTCACCTGTCTGGTTGTGGCACTAGCAACAATTATTAGTCTGCTGGACAGTTTCAACTATCTGGTTGTGGCACCGGCTACTATAATTGGTCTGCTTGACAGTTTCACCCATCTGGTTGTTGCACCAGCTGCTGTAATTAGTCTGCTGGACAGTTTCACCTGTCTGGTTGTTGCACCAGCTGCTATAATTAGTCTGCTGGACAGTTTCACCTGTCTGGTTGTGGCACTAGCAACAATAATTAGTCTGCTGGACAGTTTCACCGATCTGGTTGTGGCACCAGCTACTATAATTGGTATGCTGGACAGTTTCACCCATCTGGTTGTGGCACCAGCTGCTATAATTAGTCTGCTGGACAGTTTCACCTATCTGGTTGTGGCACCAGCTACTATAATTAGTCCGCTGGACAGTTTCACTTGTCTGGTTGTGGCACCAGCTGCTATAATTAGTCTGCTAGACAGTTTCACCTATCTGGTTGTGGCACCAGCTACTATAATTAGTCCGCTGGACAGTTTCACTTGTCTGGTTGTGGCACCAGTTGCTATAATTAGTCTGCTAGACAGTTTCACCCATCTGGTTTTGGCATCAGCTACTATAATTAGTCCGCTGGACAGTTTCACTTGTCTGGTTGTGGCACCAGCTTCTATAATTAGTCTGTTTGACAGTTTCACCTATCTGGTTGTGGCACCAGCTACTTTAGTTAGTCTGCTGGACAGTTTCACTTGTCTGGTTGTGGCACCAGCTGATGTAATTAGTCTGCTGGACAGTTTCACCCATCTGGTTGTGGCACCAGCTGCTATAATTAGTCTGCTGGACAGTTTCACTTGTCTGGTTGTGGCACCAGCTGATGTAATTAAGTCTGCTGGACAGTTTCACCTGTCTGGTTGTGGCACCAGCTGCTATAATTAGTCTGCTGGACAGTTTCACCTGTCTGGTTGTGGCACTAGCAACAATAATTAGTCTGCTGGACAGTTTCACCGATCTGGTTGTGGCACCAGCTGATGTAATTAAGTCTGCTGGACAGTTTCACCTGTCTGGTTGTGGCACCAGCTGCTATAATTAGTCTGCTGGACAGTTTCACCTGTCTGGTTGTGGCACCAGCTGCTATAATTAGTCTGCTGGACAGTTTCACCTGTCTGGTTGTGGCACCAGCTGCTATAATTAGTCTGCTGGACAGTTTCACCGATCTGGTTGTGGCACCAGCTACTATAATTGGTATGCTGGACAGTTTCACCTATCTGGTTGTGGCACCAGCTACTATAATTAGTCTGCTGGACAGTTTCACCCATCTGGTTGTGGCACCAGCTGCTATAATTAGTCTGCTAGACAGTTTCACCCATCTGGTTGTGGCACCAGCTACTATAATTAGTCCGCTGGACAGTTTCACTTGTCTGGTTGTGGCACCAGTTGCTATAATTAGTCTGCTAGACAGTTTCACCCATCTGGTTTTGGCATCAGCTACTATAATTAGTCCGCTGGACAGTTTCACTTGTCTGGTTGTGGCACCAGCTTCTATAATTAGTCTGTTTGACAGTTTCACCTATCTGGTTGTGGCACCAGCTACTTTAGTTAGTCTGCTGGACAGTTTCACTTGTCTGGTTGTGGCACCAGCTGATGTAATTAGTCTGCTGGACAGTTTCACCCATCTGGTTGTGGCACCAGCTGCTATAATTAGTCTGCTGGACAGTTTCACTTGTCTGGTTGTGGCACCAGCTGATGTAATTAAGTCTGCTGGACAGTTTCACCTGTCTGGTTGTGGCACCAGCTGATGTAATTAAGTCTGCTGGACAGTTTCACTTGTCTGGTTGTGGCACCAGCTGATGTAATTAGTCTGCTGGACAGTTTCACCCATCTTGTTGTGGCACCAGCTGCTATAATTAGTCTGCTAGACAGTTTCACCCATCTTGTTGTGGCACCAGCTGCTATAATTAGTCTGCTGGACAGTTTCACCTGTCTGGTTGTGGCACCAGCTACTATAATTAGTCTGCTAGACAGTTTCACCCATCTGGTTGTGGCACCAGCTGCTATAATTAGTCTGCTGGACAGTTTCACCCATCTGGTTGTGGCACCAGCTACTATAATTAGTCTGCTAGACAGTTTCACCCATCTGGTTGTGGCACCAGCTGCTGTAATTAGTCTGCTAGACAGTTTCACCCATCTTGTTGTGGCACCAGCTGCTATAATTAGTCTGCTAGACAGTTTCACCCATCTGGTTGTGGCACCAGCTGCTGTAATTAGTCTGCTGGACAGTTTCACCTGTCTGGTTGTGGCACCAGCTGCTATAATTAGTCTGCTAGACAGTTTCACCCATCTTGTTGTGGCACCAGCTGCTGTAATTAGTCTGCTAGACAGTTTCACCTGTCTGGTTGTGGCACCAGCTGCTATAATTAGTCTGCTGGACAGTTTCACCCATCTGGTTGTGGTACCAGCTGCTATAATTAGTCTGCTGGACAGTTTCACCCATCTGGTTGTGGCACCAGCTGCTGTAATTAGTCTGCTAGACAGTTTCACCCATCTTGTTGTGGCACCAGCTGCTATAATTAGTCTGCTGGACAGTTTCACCTGTCTGGTTGTGGCACCAGCTACTATAATTAAGTCTGCTGGACAGTTTCACCGATCTGGTTGTGGCACCAGCTGCTATAATTAGTCTGCTGGACAGTTTCACCTGTCTGGTTGTGGCACCAGCTACTATAATTAAGTCTGCTGGACAGTTTCACCGATCTGGTTGTGGCACCAGCTGCTATAATTAGTCTGCTGGACAGTTTCACCTGTCTGGTTGTGGCACCAGCTACTATAATTAAGTCTGCTGGACAGTTTCACCGATCTGGTTGTGGCACCAGCTGCTATAATTAGTCTTCTGGACAGTTTCACCTGTCTGGTTGTGGCACCAGCTGCTATAATTAGTCTTCTGGACAGTTTCACCCATCTGGTTGTGGCACCAGCTGCTGTAATTAGTCTGCTGGACAGTTTCACCTGTCTGGTTGTGGCACCAGCTGCTATAATTAGTCTGCTAGACAGTTTCACCCATCTTGTTGTGGCACCAGCTGCTGTAATTAGTCTGCTAGACAGTTTCACCTGTCTGGTTGTGGCACCAGCTGCTATAATTAGTCTGCTGGACAGTTTCACCCATCTGGTTGTGGTACCAGCTGCTATAATTAGTCTGCTGGACAGTTTCACCTGTCTGGTTGTGGCACCAGCTGCTATAATTAGTCTGCTGGACAGTTTCACCCATCTGGTTGTGGCACCGGCTACTATAATTAGTCTGCTGGACAGTTTCACCTGTCTGGTTGTGGCACCAGCTGCTATAATTAGTCTGCTGGACAGTTTCACCCATCTGGTTGTGGCACCAGCTGCTGTAATTAGTCTGCTAGACAGTTTCACCTGTCTGGTTGTGGCACCAGCTGCTATAATTAGTCTGCTAGACAGTTTCACCTGTCTGGTTGTGGCACCAGCTTCTATAATTAGTCTGCTGGACAGTTTCACCCATCTGGTTGTGGCACCAGCTGCTATAATTAGTCTGCTGGACAGTTTCACCTGTCTGGTTGTGGCACCAGCTGCTATAATTAGTCTGCTAGACAGTTTCACCTGTCTGGTTGTGGCACCAGCTTCTATAATTAGTCTGCTGGACAGTTTCACCTGTCTGGTTGTGGCACCAGCTGCTATAATTAGTCTGCTGGACAGTTTCACCTGTCTGGTTGTGGCACCAGCTGCTATAATTACCCCCAGTAGTGTGCTGGACAGTTTCACCCATCATGTATATATTCCGCCACTGACAATGTACATGCATGTATATATTTCCCCACTGACAATGTACACACATGTGTATATTCCCTCACTTACATTGACAATACATACGTGTATTTATCATATAATGGGTAGGTTTCTCGGCAGGATAAAACCAACGGATAAAAACGATATGCATTGGGGTCATATGCGGAGATGCAAATATCAAAGGTCAAGTAGGGACTCCTTTCAGTGTTTATAAACAAACGTGGTGTCGCCCTTGTCATTTGGCAATCAAGTCAGAATTAACCATCGGGAATCTGGATAAACTACAGAGATAATTGCTATCATTATCAAATGAACAGTCTAATATACTTAAAATCAGTGTCTAACTGTGACATAGCTAAGGCATTTTATAAGTTTTGGCAACTTTGGCTCTCTAAATACAATGTTTATTCCTAATGCAGGATATTTACCATCCCCAAACACACTCGCGTGATAACCTCTATATATTTTCCCACTGACATTGTACACACATGAATATATTCCCTCACTGACATTGACAATACATACGTGTATATATTTCCCCACTGACTGTGTCTGTCCAACTCCTGGATACAAGTGCGTATCTTGCCTCCCTGACCACGTCCAACCTCCACAGCAGCATCGTACGCATCATCCCAGTACAGCTCTATTGTGTGGTGAGTCACCTTCCCCACAACTGGCGGTGCTGGTTTAGACAGAACTGAAACACACATAGATGAAATATCTAACTGAAGATTCATAATATACATGATATATATGATAGTCAAAATAGATACCATATTCTTATTGTCAAACTAGCACTTTGATTTAGTTTTGTCCGGATTCAGGTGCTATACTTTCCCTAAACACGAGGGGATATTTGAAAATAACAGACTGTTACAGAAATACAAAGAGGTATAGAGTGATGGCACTGGATGGATAAGCAAAAGAAAAGACTAGGTGTTGGAGAACATGGAAGCCATGTATTGTAAGAAGGCAAACATCCACCAAAGACGACAAGGGAGTGTAGTATGAAAATAAACGCTTGAGATGACCTTATCAATAATGGATTGTCACATTCATTTCTACAATTAAACAGGTCCGAATCAATCTCCCAATGACAATTCGAGGGAATCTTGTCCATTCCTCTTGCAGCACCTGACCCAGTCTGGCTAAAGTAGCTGGTGGATTTTGATACTGGCAGACACATTTCCCAAGACGTGCACAATGAGGGAAAGGTTTGAGGACTTATGGCTGGCCATTGCATTCTTGTGATGTTTTGCTGACAGTGGTAGCCAGTTACAATACGTGCATGCCTCATAACACTTCCATGCCTGTCCAGAAAATCCACAGTGAGTCTGGATACCATTGTCGATTCCCAAAGACTCTATGCTTTAAACACCATTGACGTATAGCTAGAATGTGTTGATTTGTTAACAGTTTAATAACATGTGGTTGCTGAGCATGCAAATAAGCTGCAAGTTGACAATTTCTAATTGTTTGGTCAGTACTCCGAACTCCGGTGGCCTGGCACAAGTGAATGTCAGTTTGATTGGGTGTTTGGGCTTCATTTCTTAATGCCTCGTTTCTGATTAATTGATCCTTCAACTTGCATTGTGGACCTCAGGCGCACTTTGATATCATTAACATTTTGTGTCTGCAGAAACCTGTTCCAAAGTCTGCAAATCACAGACTGAAACACATTAAACATATTGGCGACCTCTTGCTGAGTTCGACCAATTAGAAGCATGCCAATAGCCCTTACGCATTCATAAAAAATTCAACAAAACTAATGGCTCAGAATGATTTGTGAACCTTTGACTGAATCGTCAAATTCAAGATTTACTCCCTACCCAAAGCACCTGTAAAGTAAGTTTCTTGTCTGCATCATTGAGAACTCCGGCATCAAGTATTTTCAAAGTTTAAAAACATCCCATGCCTAACACCATTCAAACATGAAGGGCGCCATGTTCTCATAACCATAGCAAGGCTCCTTGCTATTGGTCATATCACTATGTACATAATCATTACATCTCTCTTATTTTGATATAAAATGTAATGTCTCTGTTGAGATGATCACAGTTGATTGCATCACATGATTATGGAGAGAACTTTGTTGATATAATGAGTAGCCTGTAGTACATATCTGTGATTGTCAGCTCCATTGGTATGGCTGTTGTAACTAGACGGGAACAAAGTTCTTTGGCACTCAGGAGTCATGTTGAATTCAAATTTTTGTACCTTAACAGAGTACGACAAACTATATAAAGCTGCACTGAACACTGCGCAGTAATCAACTTAACGTTTTTTACAGTTCATGTGGACACCTTGCAACTGTAAATAATAACTAGAAGTTTATGAGTCTCACAGACATTATATCTTGATGGCTTGAAAACTGGTCTGCCACTGGCAGTGTATGCCTTGGGTTGTCTTTCGGTCTTCATGTTGACATCAGCATGGTCTGTTGTGTTTATTCTGTTGTTGTTGTGTTTTTGAGCTCATTTAGTGGTGAGCAGCTCAACTACTGGATGAGTAGATGCACGTTTGTGGTGCGCAGCTCAACTACTGGATGAGTAGATGCACATTAGTGGTGAGCAGCCCAACTACTGGATGAGTAGATATACTTTAGCGGTGAGCAGCTCAAATACTGGATGAGTAGATATACCTTAGTGGTGTGCAGCTCAACAAATGGATGAGTAGATATACTTTAGAGGTGAGCAGCTCAACTACTGGATAAGTAGATGCACTTCAGTTGTAAGCAGCTCAACTCTTAGATGAGTAAATATACTTCAGTGGTGAGCAGATAAACTACTGGATGAGTAGATCACCTTATTGGTAAGCAGCTCAATTACTGGATGAGTATATATACTTTAGTGGTGAGCAGCCCAACTACTGGATGAGGAGATGTGCATAAGTGGTGTGCAGCTCAACTACTGGATGAGGAGATGTGCATAAGTGGTGTGCAGCTCAACAAATGGATGAGTAGATATACTTTAGTGGTGAGCAGCTCAACTACTGGATGAGGAGATGTGCATAAGTGGTGTACAGCTCAACTACTGGGTGAGGAGATGTGCATAAGTGGTGTGCAGCTCAACTACTGGATGAGGAGATGTGCATAAGTGGTGTGCAGCTCAACAAATGGATGGGGAGATGTGCATAAATGGTGTGCAGCTCAACTACTGGATGAGTAGATATACTTTAGTGGTGAGCAGCTCAACTACAGGATGAGTAGATGCACTTTTGTGGTGTGCAGCTCAACTACTGGTTGAGTAGATATACTTTAGTGGTGAGCAGCCCAACTACTGGATGAGGAGATGTGCATAAATGGTGTGCAGCTCAACTACTGGATGAGTAGATATACTTTAGTGGTGAGCAGCTCAACTACAGGATGAGTAGATGCACTTTTGTGGTGTGCAGCTCAACTACTGGTTGAGTAGATATACTTTAGTGGTGAGCAGCTTAACTACTGGATGAGTAGATGCACTTTAGCGGTGAGCAGCTCAACTACTGGATGAGTAAATGCACATTAGTGGTGAACAGCTCCACTACTGGATGGGTAGATGCACTTTTGTGGTGTGCAGCTAAACTACTGGATGAGTAGATGCACGTTTGTGGTGTGCAGCTCAACTACAGGATGAGTAGATGCACTTTTGTGGTGTGCAGCTCAACTACTGGATGAGTAGATGCACGTTTGTGGTGAGCAGCTCAACTACTGGATGAGTAGATGCACTTTTGTGGTGAACAGCTCAACTACTGGATGAGTAGATGTACTTCAGTGGTGAGCAGCTCAAATACTGGATGAGTAGATGCACGTTTGTGGAGCGCAGCTCAACTACTGGATGAGTAGATGCACTTCAGTGTCTAGCAGCACAACTACTGGATGAGTAGATGCACTTTTGTGGTGAGCAGCTCAACTACTGGATGAGTAGATGCACGTTTGTGGTGTGCAGCTCAACTACTGGATGAGTAGATATACTTTAGCTGTGAGCAGCTCAACTACTGGATGAGTAGATGCACTTCAGTGGTGAGCAGCTCAACTACTGGATGAGTAGATGCACTTCAGTGTCTAGCAGCACAACTACTGGATGAGTAGATGTACTTTTGTGGTGAGCAGCTCAACTACTGGATGAGTAGATGCACGTTTGTGGTGTGCAGCTCAACTACTGGATGAGTAGATATACTTTAGCTGTGAGCAGCTCAACTACTGGATGAGTAGATGCACTTCAGTGGTGAGCAGCTCAACTACTGGATGAGTAGATGCACTTTTGTGGTGAGCAGCTCAACTACTGGATGAGTAGATGCACGTTTGTGGTGTGCAGCTCAACTACTGGATGAGAAGATATACTTTAGCTGTGAGCAGCTCAACTACTGGATGAGTAGATGCACTTCAGTGGTGAGCACCTCAACTACTGGATGAGTAGATGCACTTCAGTGTCTAGCAGCACAACTACTGGATGAGTAGATGTACTTTAGCGGTGAGCAGCTCAACTACAGGATGAGTAGATGCACTTTTGTGGTGTGCAGCTCAACTACTGGATGAGTAGATATACTTTGGCTGTGAGCAGCTCAACTACTGGATGAGTAGATGCACGTTTGTTGTGTGCAGCAAAAACTACTGGATGAGTAGATGCACGTTTGTGGTGTGCAGCTCAACTACTGGATGAGTAGATATACTTTAGCTGTGAGCAGCTCAACTACTGGATGAGTAGATGCACTTCAGTGGTGAGCAGCTCAACTACTGGATGAGTAGATGCACTTCAGTGTCTAGCGGCACAACTACTGGATGAGTAGATGCACTTCAGTGTCTAGCAGCACAACTACTGGATGAGTAGATGCACTTTTGTGGTGAGCAGCTCAACTACTGGATGAGTAGATGCACGTTTGTGGTGTGCAGCTCAACTACTGGATGAGTAGATATACTTTAGCTGTGAGCAGCTCAACTACTGGATGAGTAGATGCACTTCAGTGGTGAGCAGCTCAACTACTGGATGAGTAGATGCACTTCAGTGTCTAGCAGCACAACTACTGGATGAGTAGATGTACTTTAGCGGTGAGCAGCTCAACTACAGGATGAGTAGATGCACTTTTGTGGTGTGCAGCTCAACTACTGGATGAGTAGATATACTTTGGCTGTGAGCAGCTCAACAAATGGATGAGTAGATATACTTTAGCTGTGAGCAGCTCAACTACTGGATGAGTAGATGCACTTCAGTGGTGAGCAGCTCAACTACTGGATGAGTAGAGCAGCTCAACTACTGGATGAGTAGATGCACGTTTGTGGTGTGCAGCTCAACTACTGGATGAGTAGATATACTTTAGCTGTGAGCAGCTCAACTACTGGATGAGTAGATGCACTTCAGTGGTGAGCAGCTCAACTACTGGATGAGTAGATGCACTTCAGTGTCTAGCAGCACAACTACTGGATGAGTAGATGTACTTTAGCGGTGAGCAGCTCAACTACTGGATGAGTAGATGCACGTTTGTGGTGTGCAGCTCAACTACTGGATGAGTAGATATACTTTAGCTGTGAGCAGCTCAACTACTGGATGAGTAGATGCACTTCAGTGGTGAGCAGCTCAACTACTGGATGAGTAGATGCACTTTTGTGGTGAGCAGCTCAACTACTGGATGAGTAGATGCACGTTTGTGGTGTGCAGCTCAACTACTGGATGAGAAGATATACTTTAGCTGTGAGCAGCTCAACTACTGGATGAGTAGATG